TTCCTGCTCCTATGATGCTGCTTGGCCTGCTGTGTTCATCCAGCTCTACACCTTGTTATAACATATACATGGGTTTACATACACACTCAATATAACATATTAAGAGAAAGGAAATATTCCCCACGATCATTTTTCTGCAGATTGTAAAATTAATTCTGCTGACCGGGGAAGGGGAGTGGGCCTGTGATTGGGGAGCAAGGTGGGGCTTGGGGAAATATTAACATTAATGCCTGGATTGAGCAGTTTAAACGGGCCATATTTCTGAGCACATCAGGTAATTGGCTTCAGCAATCCAACTCCTTTTCTCTGAGTTGGGACAATGGACAAACAACCAAGAACACCTTCTCCCACCCACCCTGAAGAAGCAACTTTACATTTTAAATATCTCAATGAAGCTGACAGCCTTCGATTTGACCTGATTGTCGGTCTGGGACCTGACTCATTTCCTGGACAATGCCAAGAGCAGCAGGGAGAAAATGACAGTACAGATCAAGTGTTTTTACAGGTTGAATCCACAAACGCCTTCAGCACCAGATAGTGTTAAAGAAGCATGAGGCTGCAGAAGGACTTGGACAGGTTAGGAGAGTGGGAAAAGAAGTGGCAGATGGAATGCAATGTGGGAAAGTGGGGAAAGTGTGAGGTTATGTACTTTGGTTGGAAGAATAGAGGCATAGACTATTTTCTAAATGGGGAAAGGCTTTGGAAATCTGATGCACAAAGGACTTAGGAGTCCTAGTTCAGGATTCTCTTAAAGTTAACATGCAGGTGCAGATGGCAGTTAGGAAGGTAAATGTAATTTACTGCTGAAGTCGTATAAGGTTCTGGTCAGACCGCATTTAGAGTATTGTGAACAGTTTTTGGCCCTGTATCTAAGGGAGGACGTTTTCAAGAACGATCCCGGGGATGAAAGGCCTATCATATGAAGAGTGGTTGAGGACTCTGGGTCTGTGCTCAATGGAATTTAGAAGGATAAGGGAGGATCTAATTGAAACTTACAGAATACCGAGAGGGCTGGATAGAGTGGATGTGGAGATGTTTCCATGAGAGAGACTAAGACTTGAAGCCACAGAGTCAGGGTGAAAGGATGACCCTTTAGAACTGAGATGACGAGGGGTTTCTTCAGCCAGAGTCATTCAATTGTACAGCACAGAAACAAATGCTTTGGTCCAACTCATTCATACCAGTCAGACATCCAAAATTAATCTAGTCCCATTTGCCAGCATTTGACCCATGCCCCTCTAAACCCTTTTATATGCATGTACTCATCCAGGTGTCTTTTTAATGTTGTAATTATACCAGCTTCCACCACTTCCTCTGGCAGCTCATTCCATACATGCACCACCCTCTGGCTGAAAAAGTTGCCCCTTAGGTCCTTTTATCTTTCCCTTCTCACGTTAAACTTATACCCTCTAGTTTTGGGATCCCCTACCCTGAGAAAAAGACTTTGGCTATTCACCCTATCTATGCCCCTCATGATTTTACAAACCTCTTTAAGGTCACCCCTCAGCCTCCGACACTCCAAGGAAAACAGAGGATGGTGAATCTGGTACTCGTTGCTGCTGAGGCCAAGTCATTGAGTGTATTGAGACAGAAATAGACAGGTACTTGATTAGTAAAGGGATGAAGTGTTACAGGGAAAATGCAGAATTAGGCTGAGAAACTGTGACAGTTATTTTATCCTTTTTATTTTGAAGGAAGGTTGTAAGGTAAAGGCACAGAACTGGCTACTGACGATGACTTAAGTAAACAACTTCCAGGGCCTTGGGTTTTTTTTAAAAAGTTGGAACAACAGAAACAACCTGGGTGTGGCCAGCTCTCAGACCTGGCTTTGTACTTTTTTTTTTAGCTTTAAGCAGCAGAAGCCTTTGTGGTCTCAAAAGAGTTGGGAGCTTCAGTGAATGACTGTTTTTCTCTCTGGACCTTCTCGATGTTTTTTGCTCCTGGATTGGAGAATTGCAATGTAAGAATGTGTTTCTGAATTTGGCTTTTTGTCAAGGGTTGTGTTTATGGGATGTTACTATATTGGAACAGTTCATTACTAATAGGAACTATCTCCATTATGTCATTCTAAATTGCTCTTTTATCTGTATTTTAATTGTACTGTTTAAATTTGACCAGTTGCATCACATCTGGAACATGGCACTTCACATCAACCTTTAAAAATTAAAAGTTAGGGTCTAGGCTACCTTCTTAAAATATTTTAAAGGAGTCTGGTCTGATCTGGTCCATAACAAAACATATCAACTATGATCAACTGGTGGAATAGACTCAATGGGCTGAATGGCCAAATTCTGCTCTTATATCTAATGGCCCATCCCTGATCAGGGAGAAATTTCAGAACCTAACTTTAGGACAGCTAAAGGCACTGTCATTCATTCATGGTATGTAGGGTGTCACTGGCTGGCCAGCATTTATTGCCCATCCCAAGTTTCCCTTGAGAAGGTGGCAGAGAGTTACCTTTTTGAACTGCTGCAGTCCTTCTGGTACAAGTAGACCCACAATGCCCTGAGAGAAGGAATTCCAGGATATTGACACAGTGACAGTGAAAGAACAGCGATATATTTCCAAGTCAGGACAGTGAGTGACTCAAGGAGAACTTGCAGGTGGTGGTGTTCCCATGTATTGACTGCCTTTATTCTTCTAGATAGGCGTGAGCTTAGAACGTACTAAAGACTGTGGGCGAATTTCTGCAATGTATCATGTAGATGGCATGCACTGCTGCTACTGAGCATCAGCAGTGGAGGGTGTAGATGTGGTGCTAATGAAGCAGGGACTGCTTTGTCCTGGATAGTGTCAAGCTTGAGGGGTGCTGGGGCTGCACCCATCCAGGCAAGTGGGACTATTCCATCATACTCCTGACTTGTGCCTTGTAGATGGTGGACAGGTTTTGAGGAGTCAGAAGGTGAGTTACTGCAGGATTCCTAACCTCTGGCATGCTGTTGGCACATGCTTGTTTCAGATCTCCAGCAGTCCTTACTTTCATGTTCAATTCCTCTTTGTATAAAGAATAGATTTCATTAATGCGTTTGAGAGATTTACGTGGACGTAACGTGTCAGTAATAATACCTTCTGTATTTGTTAGGTAGCTGAATCTGAGCGAGTGGAAATCTCAAGACCTGCTCTCAAAAAAATAACATATTGAGCCCTAGTGCACAAATCTCCAAATGACCAATGTGCCTCGCCCTCTTAGCACCCAGTGTCCTGTCTGTGGCAAAGTCAATAGATTGTGCATTGGCCTTGTCATCTATCTACGTGGAAGCAGGTCATTCTTGAAGTCAAAGGACAGGCTAAGATGATGGTTAGGTGTGATCTCTGTGTATCAGAGTCAAGTAGTGAGATGTCTTGCTATTTTAAAAGAAGGTACATAAATGCAGTTTACGATGAGTGCTCCATTTCTATTCCCAAGGACAATGGAAGAAGTCAAGAACACTGCATTGCGTAAGTCCCACACATTGAAAACTGTGGTTTTCTTTTTATTTGTTTATTGGCAGTGGAAAATAAAAGTAAGTATTTTATTGAAAGAAAGCAATAAATACGTGATAAAAATAGTTCAAAGTATTGTATAGACTGTACATAATTTGTTACAAGAAGGCAGAGAAAAACTCAGAACCGCAAAATATTGGACAAATAACAGTACATTATTCAGGCCAACGTACATTAAAAATTGACCACTTTGGACAGATTTACAATGTGTTGGTACACAATACATAACTCACTATAATACCAACAAACTGCAGCTGACACATTGGTGGGTTACTCAAAAATACTGAACACTCTTTATAAAGCCATGACAACATTTCTTCGCTCTCCTATTTATGGGTCACCTTTTAAAAAGGAATATGCACAGTATCTATAGATTAGCAAAGGGTTGCAAAAAAAGCAAACCATATTTCAAGAAAAATAAATAAGGCTTTAATTTTATTTATTTTTAAAGAACCCCACTTCTTACACTTCTAAGTTGAATAGTCTTAATTGACACCAGTCATTGATATTGGTCCACTAAAAGGTTAAACCAGCCTTTACTTAAAAAAATTAGGGAGGAAATAGCATTGGAGTTATAACAAGAGGTTGTCCTCTTGCATTCATCCCACCTATTCCTCAATAGTCCTATATATATGGCTTTACCTCTTCTCCTGCCCATCTATTCATTATTAGTCATACTGAAAAAATGGACAAGCATTTACAATTTAAAAGATGAGAACTGATAGTTTCTTAAAAAAAAAGGATTTAATTACAGACTTCAGACTAACTACAACATTAACACACTTGGTGCTGTCAGCATGCAGTTTCTTTTGGGAAAAGAGCATGAAAATGCCATTACACCCACTTTTTTGTCCTCAACTTTATAAAAAAAATCTGAATATTTGTAGTAATTACACAATGATTTACAAACCCCCCACAATTCTCATAGGGATGAATACATACAGACATATGATACATTTCCTTGAGAAAAAAAAACATGATTAAGAGTAAAGAAAACTGATTTAAGAAAGAATTGTACATAGTTATAAAATGCATTCTAAGCAAGGGTACGTGATTAAAGCTAGGTGCCAGATCTACAATAAATCAATATTGAAACAGGTTTACATAAATGTAAGAAACATTTATTCTAAAATTTTAAATCTAGAGTACTCATGAGTTGTGGTTCAACTAGTTTAAATCTCTGTATTAAAATATTAAGTCCAAGTTAGACATATTGCCACACCACAGATTTCCCAGCTTTCTCAGCAATTCACGTGATGTACAATTACTGCATGAAGGCTTTGAACGCTGGGCAGTCATCAGTTGAAATAGCGCGTGTGAACTAGAAAATAAAAAAGAACATTGTTAAATATCAAAACTGGACAATGTTAAATATTACAACCACATTAATAGAGATACAAATGCTGAGTTAGTTCGTTACTATGGTCAGATAAGTGGAAGGACAAGACGAGACTGAACTTTTTTTTTTAAAAACAGATTTTACATTGCTAATGTGGTGGAACTCAATTTTAGAGCAGGGTGATCAAGGAAATACAACTCGAGGGACACAGTTCAGAAAAATAATTAAAGCAAAACAAATTTACCTCATTCCAAAGTGGATTTTCTACTAGTTACATTAATCGCTTATGGTTGGCATAAAGTGTACAATTGTAATTGAAGCATTGAAACATAAAATAGCCTCCAACTTCATTGGCACAAAGTCTTCACAATTGAAATATTTATTTTTAATTATCTCATTCCATCTTTCAGCTCAGTTTTCTAATGTTTTATTCATTATTGCTGCTAATATTAATAACTTTGCAGAATGTATGAGTAAATAACTGAAAATACTGATAACTAACACGGTTCTCGTAAACAACTGTAATCATGTATTGATGCTACTTCCATAGTTAATACGCCTCCCTCCTCCCTTGGCCCTGAACCCGCCTCTTCCCTCCTCAGCCCTGTCCCCTCCTCCAATAAACCTGCATTTATTTTGTGCTATTCACAACCTCAGATAATCTTGAAGCACTTCACATTTTATTCATTAAGGTTTAAGTTACTGCAGTTATGTAGAAAAACAAATTTGCACAAAGCAAAATTCCGCAGCTAAATAAATAATTCAATCTATCATGATGTTAGTGACATTGATAACTAGGGATGACAGATAAACACCCTCCTTGGCTGTTTCAAAACACTCACTCAAAGCTTCTATCCACAAAGTACAACAAGAAAGGAATGTGCACACATCATCTGCTGCATGATCAACTCAGATGAAACATGACTCAGTTGTATGAAATGAAACTGCAGCAAACAGGGAAGGAGACTGTGCCACATTTTGAATGTAGCACACTATTGCTTATTATCTAAATTCTATTCGATTCAAGTCTCAGTTTGGAATTCATATTTTGAGGATAAAGGCTGTTGGTTATTTTCCCTGTAACCCTGCATTATTTAAAAAAAAAAATCACTTATTTGACTGAAAGGATTGACAGAATTTGAACTGGAAATTTTTTTTGAGCCTCATCAATTCCACTGGGATTTACACTCTCAGGTGAAGTGAACAAACTGATCCACATCTCTCCTGGATTTGGCTGAAATGCAGGTTTGTTTTCAGATATCCAAGTCCTAAGATTACAAAGCAGTGGTTCAATGAAGCACAAGACTGTTACGGTGCAGGAAGTGGCTGTTTGGTCCATCATGCACCAGTTCTTCAAAAGAGCTATGATCTTCATTTTAAAAAGTTAGAGATTTAGTTGGAAAACAAATTATCGGGACATTTCAACATAGATAAAGAGCTAGTTTAGGTTCAGATGAAAAGAAAATTCTATAAACAATGTACTCTCACGCCTTTTCAGCTACCAAATTGCATAGACTCCCTGTGATTGGATAATTATAAACAAAAGCTCAGTTTCATTATAAATGCTGACAACCCTCTTTTCCATACAAATGTGTAGAATTAAAAGTTCCTCTGTTCCCTTAATATCTTTGATAAATGCAAATGAATCTTCACTTCAAAGTATCAATTCCAAGGAACAGTTTGTGTAATAAACCTGTTTTTTAACCAAGTGTCATTTTGGTAAATGACATCACAGGATCCCTACTGTATAGAAGCAGGCCATTCAGCCCGTTGACTCCACACCAACGCAGATGAGGGGGAAGCGATGGCATCATGGTATTATCACTGGACCGTTAATCCAGAGACCCAGATAATGTTCTGGGGACTTGGGTTCAAATCCTGCATGGCAGATGGTGGAATTTGAATTCAATAAATATCTGGAATTAAGAGTCTAATGATGACCATGAATCCATTGCCAATTGTTGGAAAAACCCATCTGGTTCACTAATGCCCTTTATGGAAGGAAACTGCCATCCTTACCTGGTCTGGCCTACATGTGACTCCAGACCCACAGCAATGTGGGTGACTCTTAAGCATCCTCTGGGCAATAAATGCTGCCTGGCCAGTGAGGCCCTCATCTCATGAATGAATAAAGAAAAAAAGTCCCTATCCCTGTAACCCTGCATCTCCCATAGCTAACCTGCACAATCTAGCATGGCCAATCCATCTAACCTGCAGATCTTTGGACTGTGGGATGAAACCGGAGCACCCAGAGGAAACCCATGCAGACAGTGGGAGAATGTGCAAACTTGACACTGACAGTCATCCGAGAGTGGAATTGAACCTGGGTCCCTGGTGCTGTGTGGCAGCAGCGCTAACCCACTGAGCCACCAGCTGCTGGAAATAGTCAGCAAGTCAGGCAGCACCTATGTTGAAAGGCAAAGTCAGTGTTTCAGGTCAATAACTTTCTCATCAATTTTGACCTAAAATGTTAACTCTGTTTCGCTCCCCACAGAAGCTGCCGGACCCGTTTAGCACAGAGTATCTATAGCATTTTGCTTCTGCACCATTCTCGTAAGCATACACTGGTAAATCTCTCCAAAGACCAGTATATCCTTCCTCAAGAGGTACTGCTGTTCACAGTATCCCAGGTGTGATCTAATGTGAAATAGGAACAGGAGTGAGTCATTTAGCACTAGAGCCACTGCAGCCTCAAGATCAATCATGACCTCATTGAGTACTGGGAGGAACGTCGTATCACTCAAGCCAGGGCCAGTTTATGTTGCAGAAAGTTTTCTTGCCGCTTCCAAAAATATTAAGCATCTGTACTTAAAAGTGTTAAAGAGCAAGATGCATTTCCAAACACACCATCAGCTTAATAACTAAAAACCAAGTGTCTAAACTTGACAACTTGGTCATAGTGATACCAAAGCTCTCAAATTTTGAATGGCACCAGACAGAGAAAATTTGGTAGTAAATAATTGAGAGATCCTAAAAGTCACCTTCTTTTAAAAAAAAAGCCCGTAGTTCCCAAATTATCCTGCATCTAGCCTGTTATGTTGCATAAATTATAACTCAGTACACCCAGGAGAAAGAATTCTGCTTCAAACTGACAAAAAAGCACTAGGAAGATGCACTGTAACCCCTTATGAATCGTTAACCAAAGTTACTTTCGACTGTGATCTTGCAAAGATCACATTAGGGAGATACCATGAATACTTACCCAAAATTAACATGAATAGGTTCGTACTGTAGTGGAATCCATTCTTGGCTCTCCAGAAATATTGCCTGCAGTTTGCATTGAGAGAGATAGCATGCAGACAACATGCGGTTAGTTATAAATTAGTAACTCAACAAATGCAGAAAGCAACACTGCTTACTAGCTTTTCAAGTATCAAAACCTAAAAGAAATTTGGAAATCTGATTTGGATTGTGAAATTTTAAGAGTAAATATTTATTCTGAGGAATGATACAATGTTATGAATTCTCGAACCTGAGCTAGGCTGCACTTGAATGAGTATGAGTTAACTTGCAAGGTCATGCATCATTGGCCTTCATGCAGCCAGTACACAATCCAGATGTGGTCTCTTTGGGTATCTTTAATTTCCTGTCCCGTGCAGGGATTCACAAATCACAGCTTCACATTAACCAAGCCACCGAACCTGCAACTTTGATGTTTCTGTTCTAATTATTAGTGAAGAAAACAGGATGCAATTCCAGCAAGAAAAGGACAGGTGAGTGATTTATCCCACCAAAAGACTGGTTAGTATACATACCACATTATCACAAAGATTTAGAGTGGGGTTAGATAAACAAAAAAAACAGCAAGATGGAAAGGGCAGACAACCAGTAAAAAAAAAGTAGGTGGAGCAGGCTGGAACTTTCTTGTAGCAATGGCCTAGGGATATGATCACTAGACTATTAATTCAGAAACTCAGCAAATGTTTTGGGGACCTGAGTTCAAATCCCACCTCAGCAGACGGTGGAATTTGATTTCATTTAAAAAAAAACTGGAGTGAAGAATCTACTGATGACCATGAAACTATTGCCAATTGTTGAGGAAAAAAACTTATCTAGCTCAGGGATGGAAACTGCCATCCTCACCTGGTCTGGTGTACGGGTCTCCAAATACACAGCAACGTGGCTGCCTCTCAATTGGCCTAGCAAGCCATTCAGTTGTACCAATCACTAAAATGTCTCAAAGAAATGAAACTGGATCAATCACCTGGCATTGACTGAGGCACCTGAAGAAACAGCCCTATTGACCCTGCAAAGTCCTCCTTACCAGGGGCTAGTGCCAAAATTGACAGCTGTCTCAAAGATGAATCAAGCAAAAGCTTGACATAGGCTCATGGAATCATACCTTACAGACAATGTCCCAGACACCACCATCATCTCTGAATATGTCCTGTCCTATTCGAAGGACATTCCCAGCAGAGGGGGGCTGCACAGTGGTATACAGGTGGGAGGGAGTTGTCCTAGGAGTCCAAAAAATTGACTCCGGACCCCATGAAGTCTCATGGCTTCAGGACAAACATGGGCAAGGAAACCTCCTGCTGATTACCATGTCCTCCATTGGCCAATGAATCAGTATTCCTTCATGCTGAACAACATTCGGAGGGAGCACTGAGGGTGGCAAGGACGCAAAACGCTCTCTGGGTGAGGAATTTCAATCTCCACCACTAAATGTGGCTCGGCAGCAGTACTATAGATCAAACTGGTCAGGTCTTAAAGGACATCGATGCTAGCCTGGGTCTGCGGCAGGTGGGGAGGGAACCAACAGGAGGGGAAAATCATACTTGACTTCTTCCTTACCAATCTGTTGACTGTTGAGACATCTGTGACAGTGTTGGTAAGAGTGACCACTGCACAGTCCTTGTGGAGATGAAGCCCTGCCTTCACATTGAGAATAACCTCCATCCTGGTGTGTGGCACTATCCCCATGCTAAATGGGACAGACTTCAAACAGATCTAGCAACTTGAGACTGAACGTCCATGAGGTGCTGTGCGCCATCAACAGCAGCACAATCTCATGGCCCGGAATATCCCCCACTCAACCAATACAACAAACCAGGGGATGAACTGTAGTTCACTGGAGAGTGCAGGAGGGCATGCCAGAGGCAACACCACACATACCTAAAAGTGAAGCTGGTGAAGCCACCAAGCAGGACTACTTGAATGCCAAACAGCATAAGCACCAAGTGATATTCAGAGCTAAGCAATCCAACAACCAACAGATCAGATCTACGTTCTGCAGTCCTGCATGTACAGCAGTGGACGAGGCATCAGCGGCAGCTCAACAAATATCCCCATCCTCAACGATGGAGGAACCCAACACAATAACCACTCCATGTTGTTGACAGTGAGAGTAATTCAGTGATGGTGACGCTGCTGAAGGTCAAGGGAAGACCATTAGATCCTGGCTTGTTGGAGACAATCATCACTTGATGCTTGTGTACTGAGAATGTTACTTGGACTTCTCAGCCCTAACCAGGATATTGTCCAGGTCTGACGGTTTTAGATATGGGCTACTTCAGTTACTGAGGAGTCATGAATGGTGCTGAACATTGCACAATCATCAGCGAACATTCCCACTTCTGACCTTATGAAGGAAAGGTCATTGATAAAGCAGCTGAAGACAGTTGGACTTAGGACACTGGCCTGAGGAACTAAAAAGACGTTCTTGTGGCAAAATGTTAAGCCCCACTTCCCTGGAGTCAGAAGGCCTGGGTTCGATCCCACCTGCTCAACAGGTATGTCACAACACATCTGAACAGGTTGATTAAAAAAAATTAACCTGAGGAATCCCTGCAGAGGTATCTTAGTACCAAGAAGACTGACCTTCAACAACCACAACCAACTTCCTTCTTACTTGGCATAATTCCAACCCCCTTACAGAACAGACAGTCTTCAAACAGTGTGGTATTGTTCCATTCAGAAATTCCTGTGCCCAGTGAGTGGTGAGCTTGCAGAATTGTCTGCCACAGAAAGCGGTCAAGGACTAAAACGCTGAATGTTCTCAAGAGGAGTTAGATATAATTCAAAGGGTAAAGGGAACAGGGAACTGAGTTAGATAATTAGCCATAAGCATAATGAATTATGTACCAGGCTCAAAGGACCTACTACTGTTCTTATTTTCTGTGCTTCTATTGCCATGAACTTGATCCACCAAATTTATAATGTGCTGACACTTTCCTGTTCTTAGCCTGTTATTCGAATTCCTTATTCCCATTACACAAGCACATACAGTATTTAAGGTTCTCGAAGATTTGTAGCTCGGGTTGTGGGTGAGGTTGTGGACGAGGTTGTGGACTTGCTTGCCGAGCTGGCTTGTTCTTGTTCAGACGTTTCATCGCCATGCTAGGTAACATGTTGTTCTACCCCACTTAGTATTTATATGACCCGGTCTGTTGAGGTGTTGTGTGTCATTTCCGGTTCTTTTTTGCAAGAGAAGAAAGATGGGGTCTAAATCCACGTGTTTATTGCTTACATTATAGGAGGAGAACCAAGCCTCTAGGAACTCTTGTGCATGTCTATGTTTGGCTCAAGCTATGATGGTCATGTCGTTCCAGTTAAATTGATGGCCTTCGTTGTCGGAGTGTACTGAAAGGAGGGAAAGTTCGTCGTGGCGTTTTGCTGCTAGCTGGTGTTTGTGTATTCTGATAGCTAGTTTCCTTCCTGTCTGGCCAATGTAGTGTTTCTGGCAGTCCTTGCACAGTATTTTGTACACTACGTTGGTCCTGCATGCCGTGAGTATGGGGTCGTTGATCCTTGTGAGTATTTATGGTAGTGTGGCTGTGGGTTTGTGTGCTATCCTGATTCCTAGTGGTCGTATCTGCCTCACTGTCAGTTCTGATACATTCTTGACATTGTATTAGGTCGTATTGGGTCCTCTCAGTGTTGTCTATTTAGTAGGCATCTGCGGATAAAGTTGGTGAGAACCATTGATAGCGAAGACCTTGCATAGGCGCTCTTCCTCCTTCTTGTGAAGTTCAGGTGTTGCGGCCTGTTTGAATAGTGTCCTCACACAGCTTTGTTTGTGGACGTTGGGGTGATTGCTGTGGAAATTGAGGATTTGGTCAGTGTGGGTTGCTTTCCAATATACTGTGGTTTGGAATTCCCCGTTTGTCATTCGTTCTACCCTGAGGTCTGGGGACAGAAGTTGACTGTTATTTTCCTCTTCTCTTGTAAATTTGACTCCGAGGAATATGTTGTTGATGCGGTGGTGACTCTCTTCTAACTAAGTGCATTTAATGATAACAAATTTGTCATCCACATATCGTATCCACAGTTTTGGCGCTATGCAGGGGAGGGTTGTGCGTTCTAATCTTTGCATGACTGCCTCTGCAATAAGTCCTGAGATGGGTGACCCCACTGGTGTGCCATTAATCTGTTTGTAACCTTGGCCAGTAAAGGTGAAGTGTGTGGTGAGGCATTGGTCCAGTCGTCTGAGTATGTTGTCCTTGCTGATGGAGCTGTTGGTCGGCATTCCTGTTTCGTCTAGTAATGTGGCCAGTGTTTCTTCGGCTAGTGGGATGTCAATGGACGTGACTAGCGCTATAACGTCAAAGGATACCATAATCTCGTTGTCATTGATTTTGTTATTCTTGAAGTTATTAAGGAATTCCTGGGTTGAGTGGATGGAGTGGGGTGATCCGTCAACCACGTGTTTCAGTCTCTGTTGTAGGTCCTTGGCTAGCTTGTATACAGGTGTGCCCAGTAGGGAGACAATGGGTCTGAGGTGGACGTCTGGTTTGTGTACTCTGGGGAGTCCGTAGAAGCGGGTGGGCTGGGGGGATGGGTTCAAGCCTTCTGGTTTCATTTTTATGTAGTCTGTCTTGGTTATTTGTCCTGCATTCTTTAGTCTCCTCAGTGTTTGGGTGATCCTATTTCCTAGCTGTGGTGTTGGGTCTATCTCCAACTGTACCTGCAAGCAATGCCTGTGCTTTTTCAATGTAGTCTGCTTTGTTCATAATGATGGTCGTGCGCCCTTTGTCTGCTGGTAGGATAATGATGTTCCTGTCTTTCTGGAGTCCTTTGAGTGCTTTTCTCTCTGACGTGTTTAAGGTGTCCCAATCATTCCACTGGTTCAGTGCAGGGATTATTGTCTATCTGACGGGTTGAGTTTCGTCCAGGAGTCCATTGTTTTTTTCAACTTCTATTCTTTCAACAATCAACTTCCGTTCCTGGACGTCAGGGTAGAACGAATGACGGAACAGCGAATTCCAAACCACAGTATACAGGAAGGCAACCCACAATGACCAAATCCTCAATTTCCAAAGCATCACCCCAACGTCCACAAACAAAGCGGTGTAAGGACACTATTCAAATGGGCCGCAACACACCGGAACTTCGCAAGAGGAAGAGCACTTACGCAAGGTCTTCGCTATCAATGGTTTCCCCACCAACTTCATCTACAGATGCCTATTAGACAGGCAACACCAAGAGGATACAATATGACCTAATACACTGGCCACACTAACGTATCAAGAATACATCAGAACTGACAATGAGGCAGATACGACCACTAGGTATCAGGATAGCACACAAACCCAAAGCCATATGACGACAAACACTCAAGGACCAAAGACCCTATTGCCACAATATGCAGGACCAATGCAGTGTACAAAATACCGTGCAAGGACTGCCAAAAACATTACATCGGCCAGACAGGAAGGAAACTGGCCATCAGGATACATGAACGCCAGCTAGCAGCAAAATGACACAACCAACTTTCCCTCATTTCAGTACACTCAGACGATGAAGGCTATCAATTTAACTGGGATAATGTGACCATCCTAGCTCAAACCAACCATAGACACGCATGGGAATTCCTAGAGGCCTAGTTCTCCACCCATAATGCAATCAATAAACACGTGGAATTAGACCCCATATACAAACCCTTGTAAAAAAGAACTGGAAATGACAAAACGCTTCAACAGACCGGATCATATGAATACTAAGTGGAGTAGAACAACAATCGCTTCATCGGAGGCCGCACTGACGATGTTACCTAGCATGGTGATGAAACGTCTGAACTATAATCAGCCTGCTCGGCGAGCAAGTCGACAACCTCACTGATACAGTATTCCCCATACAATTCACAACTTATTTAAGTTCTAACCGTTAATTCAATTGTTTGAGATGAGTATTTTGACAATCATACGCAAGTAACACATGAAACTTTGAGGTGTTTATCTGCTTTGAGATAAATGCAATCTTGTTTGGTACTACTGTACTGGAGCTATTGACTATTTTGGTGTTACTCCATTAATGTATACAGCATCTCTAGTAGCTTAAAATGATGGTGACTTTTTTATATCAATCTTCATAACAAGAAGATGTATTGTAGAATAAACCCAGTACAAAATGTAACTTTTAAATTACAAACTAGATTCTGTGTGTCACTGTTGTTTCTCACCTCAGAGTAATACAGCATGGAAACAGGCCCTTCAGCCCACTAGTTCATATTCTTGTACTTTTACGGGGATTGGTCATCCAAAGTACGTTATCTAATTAATCTTTTTGTTTACAAATTCAGACAGTAAACACTGGCTTCAAAGAGAGAAACAATGTGTCGATTTAAGGTGGCTTTGATGATGGCGTAAGGAAGTCCCTCAACACTGTAAAGCTAATGAAGTGTTCCTAACATGCGGATACCATTGTGATGTAGCAAACAAAGATACCAATTTGTACCTAGCAAGCTTCCGTGAATAATGAGATGGTGATCAGATTTTCAGGTTTTACTTTTGGGTAAATATTGAACAGACATCAGGGTTCTTCTGCTCTTTGGATCTTTCATGTTCATCTATGGGAAGACAGTATCTCAATTCAACATCTAAGTCTGAAAAACAGTTTCCTTTCAGTACGGAATGGTTAGACTGGACGAGACAGTCAAACCTGGAGTCAGCCTTGAATTCACAATCTACTGATTCCAATATAAAAAGAAACTGACAAAGCTAGATAAAGTAGCATCAGTGCCAATCTTAATCCTGTGCATAAAGACTTGGCAGCAGTGGGTCACTTGGTTGAGATGTGGCTGATCTTAGCCTTTCCTCAGTAAAGGACTCGAAAGTTACTTACAGGGAGTTCTGCTATAACGTGTGTTCCGGCAACGTGAATGGGCTATAACATGATTAATGAATAGGGGGAATGCTATTTCTAAAACGCAAACTTGTGCTGGCTATAACGAAATTCCACTGAGTACGCGTCAACATCACGGGCTTTGTCAAAGGAAAATTTCTTTTTTTTGATCCTCGCACATGGTACAAATGTTCGGAGTTAGTTCAGAGTTAGTCATAATGAGCTCATTTGAAAAGTTATTGGATTGTATGTCACAAACCTCAAATACAATATCACACAGAACACAACCATCTTATTAGGAAAATATGTAAAGTTTTAGTTTGAAGAGTTTGTGCTGAACACATTAAATGCAAAAAGACAAAGTATAGTTTAATATGAGTGGTGTTAAAACATGCACCTTTGTGTGTAGTATTTTTGCCTATATTTTGTTAGATATTAAATATGTAAGAACTTTTGAACTTGCTCATATAAATCATTTATACCAAAAGTTGTCTGTGTTACAACCTGCTCTTTTCCAGCACTATTTTTTAATACAATATTACTCTGGTTTATCAAGCATTTTAATCCTACAATTAACTTCAACGTCAATGGGCTACATAGGAAAGAAAGGTCAGATTCCTCTGCTCCACTTACCAGAAAATCTATCCAGAAGTCTGAGCTGATGGAACGTCAGGTCAGATCAGCAGTGGACTAGGCTGTGGTGCAGACTATGTTGCAGGTGAATAGATTTTATTTGATTATAAGTGTCAAGGCTCACACAAGTGACAGGCATGGTGCCGATATTTATAGTTGCTGAGGAAGAATTTTGAGTCATTTTGAATTTTTTTTGGTGGTCTGTCCTAACCCCGCCTTTCCAATTGGCCCTGTTATTTCTGTAGCACGATTTTCTATAATGCCATGTTGCACTCGAACGCAACTATCGTGTTATAGCAGAACCTCCTGTAATAAGCAATGATGCTACAACTTATGATTGGTTCAGTGTACGCCCAGGATAGAATATATTTCAGTTGCATTCCAGTGGTAATTTAAATATAATTTTCTGCTTGGCTCAGTTGTGAAATGCGAAATTCTGCATGATTCCTTGGTTGCAATTAAAATAATTACGAAGAAATCAGAATATAAATGTCACACTATGTAACCTGACACCACTAAGCTCTGTTTTAGAGGTTACATTGGCTACATTTCCAAGTTAGGTGGTGCGTTGCATGATGAGCCTTTACAATGACTAATACTCCAAATGCAAGAACGTAATGATAAAACTGTACTTCGTAAAAGGTAGTTACAAGGTTGGGAAGTCTAACGTGGAATAAATTAGGAAATTCTTCTCAAAGGCACAGATTTTTTTTGGAACATCAGTAATGCTATAATGCTATCATTTTGTATATCCCACTACAAAGCGCAAAACTAAAATATATTTGTAGCCTGTTAAAAATAATTAGTTAAGACAGCATATCGATTTCCATGACCGAGCATTTACCGACAACATATACAGTGGTGATTTCCAGTATTATATCACAATCTAAGCCTCACTAAATCAAGCTAAACATTATTTACTGAAACCCAATTATGAAAAGAAAATTGATGCACACTAAGTTCCATTTGAAACATTTCAATACTGACCATAAGATCACATTTAGCAGTAATGTTAAGTAGCAAAACAGATTACGAGTGTTAACGAATGTCATGTAGTAAACAAACAATACATACCATCGGTTTGCATCTTCTTTGGCTGCATGGAGGGTGAAGACGCTGTTGAGGTAACTCTAAAATTAGCAGGTAACGTCTCTGCTGATCCAGGTGTCATACCCCTTACGTCCTTTGGTCGGAACTTTTTTCTCCAAGAAGGTGCTCTTCTGAAACCCTTTTCATCCTCCTTTTACAGTGACAGAAATAAAGCACATACATCAGCTATATCCAGTTACTTGTTCTTGTATACATCTCACAACAACAAAGACACACATCAATCACTAAAATAATTGTTTAAACAGTACTGCCAGTGACTTCCTATCTGTATGCGCACATGGAGAAAGATCTAAAAGGTCAGCAGAATCTGAAGAAACAATTAAATTTGATTCTTACATCATCTAGTCTCCGGTCTGTTCCAAGTGCCAAGAGGTTGTTAAATTCTCTCTCCAATGACTGGCGTGCCTGCAAACATAAAGGCCACAATTAATTCTTAACGTAACCTGAAACACATTTTGGTGTAATCAGCCAAAACAGATTGTAATACTGTCTCAAACAGAAAGAAAACAATTTCACAAAACGCTCTGAGCAACTAAAGGCAAGATGATGAGAGTAGATAACTCAGTAGATTGTAACCAGACATTGAATATTCTTTGACTGTAATTGAAATCGAACTTGTCATCTTGTAAGTATGCTGTCCCTGTGCATTAATCTTGACTTTCATCATAACACTGTTACTTAGCAGAAGTGATTGACATCACTTGAGCATCTTTCAAACAAACTCTAATAGAATTGTTTCCTTGAAACAAATTCTGAACCAAAAGAGGAGGAGAAACAGAAAATAGACATGCAACACAAAAATAATTTAAACTGAAAAGAGTTTGCTTATTTGATATGCTAAAACCATACAAAGTCCACTATTGTGGATGAAATTGTGGGATACTTGACCATAAGACTGTTTTGCCCCTAGAGCCTGCTCTACCATTCAATAGGATCATGACTGATCTGACATTCTTCATGTCCATTTTCCTGCCTGTTCCCCATAATCCTTGATTTCCCTATTGATCAAGAATCTATCTCAGCCTTAAATATACACAAGGACTCTGCCCCCACAGCTTTCTGTGGCAAGGAGTTCCAAAGACTCTCAACTCTCAGAGAAGAGAGTCCTCTTCATCTCAGTCTTAAATTGGCACCTGTTTATTCGGAGAGTGTGCCCTCTGGTCCTAAACTCTCCAGCAAGGGGAAGCATCCTCTCAGCATTTACTCTGTCAAGCCCCTTAAGAATGCGATATGTTTCAATGAGACCACCTCTCATTCTTCTAAACTCCATTCTTCTAAACTCAACCTGTTTGACCTTTGCTCAGAAGACAATCCCTCCATATGGAGGATCATCTTATTTGATCTTCTCTGAACAGCCTCCAATGAAATGCTAACTTTTCTTAAATAAAGGGACAAAAACTGTTCATGGTGCACCACGTGATCTCACCAGCACCTGCTACAGCTGCAGTAAGACTTCCCTAATCTTATACTCCAACTGCTTGAAATAAGGGGCAAAATTCCATTAACCTTTCTGATTGCCCGTTACACCCAAGTGCTAGCTTTCTGCGGTTCGTGCACACGTGCCCCTAAGAGTAGTGCATTCAGTTCTGGGGATATATTTTAACGAAGGATGTTAAAGCCCTGGAGAGTGTTCATGGAAATTTAACAGAATGGTACCAGGAATGAGGGATTTTAGAAACAAGAAAAGATAAAAGAAACTGGGCTTATTCTCCTTGGAGTAGAGAAGATTAAGAGGTGACCTCATTGAGGTGCTCAAAATTATGAATAATTTTGACAGGGTAAAGAAGGATATTCTGTTTCCACCAGTTGGCACATCAGTAACAAGGGGTCAAAATTTCAAAACTGCCAGCAAGAGAGCGAGGAGTGAGATAAGGAGAAACTTCTTTACTTAGAGTTGTTAGGATTTGGAATGCGCTACCTGGAGTGTGGTGAAGGCAGATTCCATTGGAGGCTTCAAAAGCGAGCTGGATATATATTTGGAAGTGATGATTTTAGATAGTTATTGATTTAGATCTGGAGAATGGGTAGTTGTCAGGAGCTGGTACAGATACAATGGATCAAATGGCCTCCTTCTGTACTGTAAAATTTTATGATTCCAAGTCCCTTTATGTTGCAGCTTTCTACAATTGTTTTTCCATTTAAATAATATTCTGATATTTTGTTCTCCCTTCCAAAATGAACAATTTTGCATTTTCCCACATTACATTTGTCAATTTATTACCAATTTACTTAATCTATTAATATCTCTCTGTAAACTATTGCGTCCCTCTCTCAACCTTCCTTTCCACCTGTGTGTCTCTCACCTGCAAATTTGGCTGCAGTATATTCACTTCCTTCCTCATTCATTAATATATAAACATATGAGATCCCAGCCAAGCAGAAAAAGAAGCTCCTTATCTCCACTCTATCCATGCCAATAAACAACTCAAACTATGGGTTCTTATCTCATGACTTAACCTTTTGTGAGGTATCATGTTGAATGCCTTCTGGAAGTCTGAATACAATGCATATACTGGTTCCCCTCTATTCACACTAATTGAGACTTCTTTGAAAAACTCTAATAAATTAGTCACACATGATTTCTCTTTCATAAAGCTATGCTGACTCTGCTTGATTAGATGATGGCCATTTTGGGTCTTTCAAACATGGGCCACTTTGGTGTAAGCAGGTACAGGTCACCCCTACATAATTCCTTAACACTACTTGTCTAGAAATAGAAACGGTACTTATTTCCTTCCCCTGCCCTCTCTAATATTATTGGAATGTTCGAAGTATCTACCACATACACGAAAGCGCATGGTAAGTTTAGAAGAGGTCATGCCTGACAAGTCTGTTAGAACATTTTGAGGAGATAATGAACAAGTTCAACAAAGGAGAGCCAGATGAGGGCTATTGGGATTTCAGAAGGCCTTTGAATAGGTACGGCATCGGAAGCTGCTAAATAAGATAAAAATACATGGTGTTAGGGGCAAGGGACTGGATGGAGAGAGAACTGGCTGACTGGCAGAAGGCAGAGAGTAGGGAAAAGGGGTCTTTTTCAGGATGGCAGCCAACGGCTAGTTGAGTTCTGCAGGGGTCAGTGTTGGGACCACAACTATTCGCATAATACATTAACGATCTGGACAAAGGAACTGAATGCATTGTTGCTAAGTTTTCAGAAGACAGAAAGGCAGTTGCAGGGATGGGCAGTGTTGAGGAAGTGGGGAGGCCACAAAAGGACTTGGACAGGCTGGGTGAGTAGGCAAAGAAGTGGCAGATGGAATACAATGTGTCAAAGTGTGACGCTATGCACTTAGGTAAGAAGAATAGAGGAGCAGACTATTTTTAAATAGGGAAAAGCTTCAGAAATCTGAAGCACGTAGGGCCTCGGCAGTCCTAGTTCAGGATTCTCTTGCAGTTAACATGCAGGTTCAGCTGGCAGTTAGGAAGGCAAATACAATGTTAGTATTCATTTCAACAGGACTAAAATACAGGAGCAGGGATTTTCTGCTGAGGCTGTATAAGGCTTAGTCAGACCACATTTGGAATATTATGTGCAGTTTTGGGCTCCATATCAAAGGTAGCTAGTGCCGGCCTTGGAAGGGGTCCAAAGGAGGTTTACAAGAATGATCCCGAGAGTGAAGGGCTTGAAAAGGAGGAGCAGTTGAGGACTCTACGTGTGTACTTGATGAAGTTTAGAATGATACAAGTGGGGATCACATTAAAACTAAGAATACTAAGAGGCATAGCCTTGGAGTGCAGGAATTACCCCTTGGAACTGAGATGAGGAGGAATTTCCTCAGCCAGACAGCGGTGAATCTGTGAAACTCAGTGCCACAGAGGCTGTGCATTCAATGTCTTCACTTCCTGAGATAGACAGGTTCTTAATTAGTAAGAGGATCAAGGGTTATGGGGAGAAGTCAGGAGAATGGGTTTGACAGACGTATCAGCCATGATCGAATAGCAGAGCAGAATCAATGGATCATATGGTCTAATTCTGGATTCCTATATTCCAACTTTGTTTCTACAGGGAAGGAAGAAAAATATAGTTGAGTCAGGATGGTGTGTGGCTTAGATGGAATTGCAGGAGGTAATGTTCTCTTGTATCTGCTGCCCGTGTCCTTCTAGATGGTAGTAGTCATGGGTTCAGAAGGGTGCTGTCTAAGGAACTTTGATGAATTTCTTAACTCGTGTGTTAATTACAGAATTGTCTCTGAGAGACTCCTAAACATGAATTTGTTACAAGGGTCCAAGTTAATTGCCAATAACAATCTCAAATGTAGATAATCACAAAAAGAATAAAAGGGGAAGTCAAAGATATTCCGAAAACAGAGGATGACTAAAATTTGGAATCCTCTGCCACAAATTGCCATCAGAGACAATAAAATTATTGAAAAGGCATTGAGATTGCAATGAGCATTTAAAACAAATGAGAAGTTCTAGGCACCAAACCTCAGGAAGAATATATTAATTTTGGAGGGAGTGCATATGGAATTTACGATGCCTGGACTCAAAGCTTTAAGCTACAAGGTTAAAGAAATTAAGGTTGTATTTTCAAGAATTTAGAATTCTAGGGTCGATTTATTAAGTTTAAGATATTAAAGAGAAAAGAACAATAGATTGGGTGAAATCAATAACAGAGCCTATGGAAAAGAAACATAGGCTGAATATTAAAGCCAGACATTTCAGCAGTACAGAGATAACAAGGTGTAGAGCTGGATGAACACAGCAGGCCAAGCAGCATCAGAGGAGCAGGAAGGCTGACGTTTCAGGCCTAGACCCAACTGGGAACCATGTTTTAATGGGAGTTGTGTAAGAAGTATGGAACTCTCTTATTATTTGTTCATAGGATGTGAGCATCACCGGCTGGATCAGCATTTATTTCTCATCCCTAATTGCCCTGAATGTGGTGTTGGTAAACTGCCTACTTGAACCAATGCAATCCTTGGAGTGTAGGGACACCCACAATGCTATTGAAAGAAAACTCCAGGATATTGACCCAGTGACCGAGACGTAACAACAATACAGTTTTAAATCACAATAGTAAGTGGGGTTTGGAGGGGATTTGCAGGTGGTGCTCCCTCTCAAAAGCATTTGATATGGTGCCACAGAGTAGGTTGATTAGCATATCAGAAATGTTTGAGACTGATAAGTCCTTGGCAGTATGGATTAGAAGCTGGGTAAAGTACAGGAAGGAGAAGGTAGGTATAGATGGGCATTTCTCAGATTGGAGACAAGTTGAAAGTAGTGCTCCCCAAGGATAGGTGTCGCGACCCTTGCTTTTTTTTTTATTTATATAAACTATTTGGAGAGGAGTTTTGAGGGCAAAATCTCTAAATGTGCAGATGATACTAAGCTAGGGAGCAGAGTGAATTGTTAAAATGATGCTGAGTGACTTCAAAGGGACACTGCCAAGTTGGCAAAATGGACAGACAA